TGCATCAGGATGTATGTCAATAGAACCGTTAGGGCAAGGAACACAAGGGTACGGAGCATTGTGACATCTTGGACAGTTGCCTTGTATATCAAGGACTTTTAAAATTAGCAACCCCTGGAAATCATCTTTAGATATGTTCTCTATTTTGTTGGAATCCAGACCTAAAATTGTAATTGACTGGGGTAGTCCTTTAGGAACGTGTGTTAAGTTGTTGTAAGACAAGTCAAGAACATGCAGTTTGTCCAGTATTTGAAAGGGTTTTTCCATAATAGCAACAGACTTCCCACAGGGATTCCAGAAGTAGCAGTTTTTAGATAGTAACAGGTTTGTTATGTTTTTTAAGCCAATAAAACTGTTGTTCAATTTATCCAAACTAATCTTGTTAATGTTTAGGTCAAGTTTTTCCACACTGTGGGGGAGATTGCGTGGAATTTCAGTCAGACAGTTGCCACTCAGTTCCAGTTGCTTGATTTTTGTGAGATTTTTGAAAGCATTTGCAGAAATGTTCAATTTTCTGCAGCCATAACCATTCTTGGGCTTGTTTGCAAAGTTGAGATTGAGCTGAGTCAAATTCAGCAGATTAGAAAGTGAATCAGCTTTAATACTCTTAATAAAATTTTCAGATAAGTCGAGATCCGTGGCATTACTGGTTATTCCTTCTGGTACTTTCTCTATATGACGCCCTTTACAGTCAAATTTGACCTCAGAGGTATTGTTGGATATGACATCACAAGGAAACTGCCGTGTCATCCAGGTGGGTTTACATGCAGCCGACAGGATCTCATGATGGCAACAGAGACAGAACAACAGCATCCAGCATTTGGTAATCTGTGGAGAATTGATGAAATCCCTTATATGAAATAACCTTATGCTTCTGTTTTTGGTAAAATTATTTGGACTGACTCTGAATCATCACTTAATTAAGCTACTATAGGCTTAGGCCGCTGCAGGACCTCCTGTGTTATTCTACCAACTCTCCAACACTCTGTTTTCATTAACATTACCTACTCAGTCATTATAAGGTACTGCCCACACTAGAACAGCACATAGTCATGGAGCAAAACTGGGTGTCTGTTGCCAAGCAATAATTTTTTTTCTTCTGCTAAATTTAACTTTGAAAACCAAAGTGAAACTTCTTCATCAATAAAGTACTTATTTTTACAGTTGTATTCATTTTTCTTTAAGCAGTTTCAGTTTTTTTTTTGCTAAAAGTATTCATCAATTTGTCGCAGTTTGAGCTTACCTTTGAAAATTTACAATAAATATGTGACTTTGTTTTTAAAAATGAAGGAGGCTACTGATCGAGTAATCATGATGGAGTCAAAAGAGCTTGCAAAGAAAAGCGTCTGGACTTCTTTAAGTTACTTGAAGACGTTTCACCTCTCATCCGAGAAGCTTCTTCAGTTCT